ACAACCTTGAAGCAGGACAGTCCCACAATATTCCTTTTCCTGTCTCTTGCCTTCATTCACCACCCTCTTCTTTTTGAACAATCATCTACCCAAGAGACAACACAGCAGCAACTGGCATGTCATGACAAGCAGCCCGTATTCAGAAGATCAGAATGACAGGCACTCCAAGCATGAAGCTACCAATACAGATTACCATCTGTGGTGCAGTTGCTTAGTTCACAGGTATCAGTATACATAGTTAGTCAGGGTGAGAATCTTTCCAATAAACTGCTAGATTCAAAAATCTTCTGGAGATTCTCAGGAAGGTATTGTTTCTTAGGGTATAAAATAAATCAACTTTGCTTATGCAATACAGATTAACTTACAGGTGTTAATTTGCATTCTTCATAGATACTGCTGTTTATGTAGCTTATTATGCACAGGAGTGTAGAAAAAAATTCCTCAACACACCTAAATGATCACTGGTGGTTTAAATGTAACCAAACTACAGATTAGTACAGGTTCGTTGAAAGTATGCTATCTGTAGCTGGTCACTGGCATTAAACAACTGCTATGCCAGGTTCCGGCAAATGTATCTAAGCCTATGGCATTAATGCTGGGCATTGGTTTGGGTAAAAAGGACTTTACAAGTTACTAGGAGACTCAAGGAAGGAGGCAACATTAGAACTTAATGCACTTGAGTACAAGGTCAGGTCATTCTTACCATGGAGCCTGGAAGTCTGGACCCAAGTGCATTCGTTTTTACTGTTGAACTTTTACTACTTTAAAGTACATTTAATTGTGCCTTAAAAATAACTGCTATAATTATACATAAAATATTTTCCAAGTAATGTAAGATGTTACCTATGATTAAAACATGAAAATTTTAGTATATGCACTGTTGAAGTGAACCCAAAACATGAACATTCTAATAATGATGATTATCTTTCTCTAAAACCCATCTGGATTGCTTGCTTATTTGTAGTGAAATTCTAAAGCCCTCTCAAAATGTAAAAGTGATGACAGAGGAATCAGGGGCAGAGACTGCTCAGATTTCATACAGTGTGTTAAGAGGCAGCGATCTGATCAGTGGAGAGGATGAGGGGGATGACTTTGCATTGGAAGACTAAATATCCCCTACTGTAAATATTGAGTTTACAGTAATCATGTACAAAGATAGAAAACCATTTTTTCTCATCTATTCCTTTTCTCCTCCTTTTTTTAACTAATAAAAATTATCCATCCAGAGATAGAAACACAGTGTTTCCACATAAACAATTTGGCCCACATTTGACAATCAACATTTGCACACTTGGCCCCCACTGTGCAAATCTACTAAGTGAATGGAGAGAGAAAGAGGAAGAGCATGAGGCATACTTAACAAAAGCACCTTGGATTGCACACAATGGTGCTAAATTCTGGAGTTCTCAGTCAATACCCACTGTGGACCTGTCTCCATTTCTGTACTCCCTGCATTTCTATACTCCTGCAAATGTCAATGTAAATCTGAAAGCAGTCACATCCTTTCCTCTGTCTTGAGAGTAGCTGCCTCCTTCTAGTTTGCCTGCTTTTTAAAGTTGCATTCATTCTGTACCACTTATTCAATAACTCTATGTTTATTCCAAATAAGTTCCATAACAAAATTAGCTTCAAATTTAAGTTTCTCAGAGTCACATATGCACATACATTTAAAATGGAAATAATCAGGTTAAATGTATTTTACTCAAATTTTCAAAAAAAAAAAATCCCAGATCTCCCTATTAAATACAAATATCATTGTAGTAGATTCTTTAGGAACAATACCAAAGACAAAAGTTACGCATGCATTTCCTTTATCTTCTAAAACACAGATATGAGCTTTTGCTTTAAGCAACATTATCATTCTTTCTTAGTGGAAAGCTATTTCTCTATTTCTCTACTAAAAAGGCAATCAACTATGACCAAACTGAAGGAAGAATAAACCAATTCAGAAATACAGTACTTTATTATTTTTAATGCTTTATTATTTTTTATTAGTACATGTTCACTATACATGATGATGCCCGTCACAAGGAGTTACCAGACGTACATAACACACCTTAAGTCTTTTTATGCTCCTTTCCCCTCTTTTCACAACCTTTTATCTTTATCTCTAGATTAATTTCCCATTTAGAAAAGATCTAGCTCCCTTATTCCTATCATCCACCCTTTATTTGTCTGTATATTCTTATACTTCATGTTTCTCATGTGAGAGAAGCTATGCAGTATTTATTCTTGTGTGTTTGAAGATCTGCTGTCACATCAATACATGCATACCCATGTTTATGGAAGCATGATTCATGATAAATAAACCTCGTGAAGCAGCCTATGTATCCATCACTGGATTACTAGATACAGAAATACAGAAGAGACGGACAAGCACACAGGGAGAGCTTGTAGATAATGGCACAGTTTCTTGCATGGCATTTTAGTGGCTCAAAACATAAAATTAAATGATATGGAAACATAGGGATTATGAACTAGCAATATAAAATTGTGAAATTATCTGATACTTAAGGAAAAATAATTTTATTGTTTGTAATTTGAGGTACAGCTCCTCCACATCAAATGACTTCTGACTTCCCCATGAAAACTGACACCTATATTTTTCATAACAGATAATGGCTGTTGACTTCTATATACTGAAGAACAAAAAGGTTGTAAGCAAACTACCAGGATATCGGGGAGAGGCCTGGAGTAGATTATCCCTCACAGTCCTCAGAAGAAACTGACCCTGCTGATGCCTTAATTTGAGTTTCCAGCCTCCAGAACCCTGGGACAATAAGTTCCTGTTGTCTTAGCCATCTAGTTTGGAGTACTTTCTTAGGGCTGCCTTAGAAAAAAAAAGAAAAAGAAAAAGAAAGAAAAAAATATATATGTATGTGTCAATTTTCAAGGGGAAGTCTGAAGTCGTTTGATGTGGAGGAGTTGTACCTCAAATTACAAACAGAATAAAATTATTTTTCCTTAAATATCAAATAATTTCACAATCTTATATTGCTAATTCATAATCCTTATGTTTCTGTATCATTTAATTTTATGTTTTGAGCCACTAAAACACCAAGTAAGAAACTGAGTTCTTAAGTAAGTGTTTACAGATGAAGTTATTAAAGAGTCTTTTAAAGTACTGCTTACTTGGAGCTGGAAGCGGTGACATGGTGCTGCCCCTAGAAAGTGCTCCCAGGATTCTCCAGGCAGTGTTCTCTGGGCTCTGCGCATCAACATTGAGAACACTGAGCCGGCTGGCCTCTACAAGCAGACTGCATCTACAACTGCAGTCAGTCTCTTAAAGCTTCGTGGAACTGAGTGTCCACAAGAACG